GTTTAGTTTAACGTAGATACAGAGAGAAATCGTTATAGTTGTATGTATACGTACGGGTCAGCATACACACATACGTTTCCCAGCTCTGTCAGCCAAGAGGCCCAAGAAACAAAGACATCTCCGTAGCAACAAGCACACTGAGGAACCAGAGCTTGGTTTCCAATGCTACTCTTCAATAAAAGGAACCAGGGTGCCCAAGGGAAATGGCTAAATCCAGGGCCGAGGCAGAAAATATACGAGATGAGCCTAATGCATCTTGTAGTGACCAAAAGTAAGAAAGCGTTCAGTCAGTCAACCAACCCATCAACCCCACTGATATCAAAGGGACACAGAAGCCAACCAGAAGAGCTTCTCATGGCCTAAGACCATCTTTCATCTCTACCCACATGGTGGGGCTCAGACTCACAACCCTGAGATCAAGAGTCACATGTTCTTGGGGGTGCCTGGGTGGCTCAGTTGGTTAAGAGTCACACGTTCCACCAACTAAGCCTGCCAGGCGCCCCCTTAAACCTAGAACATCTTTTTTTTTTTTTTTAAGATTTTATTTATTTATTTGACAGAGAGAGATAGCAGAGAGCAGGAACACAAGCAGGGGGAGTGGGAGAGGGAGAAGCAGGCTTCCCGCTGAGCAGGGAGCCCGATGCGGGGCTCGATCCCAGGACCCCGGGATCATGACCTGAGCTGAAGGCAGACGCTCAATGACTGAGCCACCCAGGCGCCCCAACCTAGAACATCTTGAGCAACAAAATAAATAAGCCATACTAGACTACAACCCAAGGTTTAAAATAATAGAGTCATGCTGATATAAGTGACTAAGTAACAAATAACTGGGCAAAAGGGACAAATCTCTCAAACGGAAGAATTCCAAATAATTTGTGTACACACTCTGACCTCAAGGAGGTAGAGCACACCCCCACTCGGTAGATGTGGGCGGGCATCATGACCTCCTTACGAAGAGTACAGCACAGGAGGCTGGTGACCTGACCCAACCGGCCAGGTGGTCAAAATCAACATCATCAGCAAGAAAACACATCGGTAACACATACCATGAGGGGCGCCTGAACAGCCGACACTTGATTTCACCTCAGGTAATGATCTAAGGGTTGTGGGATCAAGTCCCGCGTTGGGCTTCCTCCGATCAGCGGGGAGTCTACTTCAGGATTCTCTCCCTCTCCCTCTGCCCCTCCCCCCCCCGCTTGCTCTCTCTCTAAAAATAAATACATAAATCTTTTTTTTTATTTTTTTTTTAAAGATTTTATGTATTTATTCGTGAGAGACAGAGGGAGAGAGAGAGAGAGAGAGAGAGAAGCAGAGGGAGAAGCAGGCTCCCAAGGAGCAGGGAGCCCGATGTGGGACTCGATCCCAGGACCCTGGGATCATGACCTGAGCTGAAGGCAGACGCTCAACCATCTGAGCCACCCAGGCGCCCAAATCTTTTTTTTTTTTTAAATGTACCCTTAATGTGATGTGACGAAAATGGTATCTTACTCTGTGGCTTCCTCCCAAAAACCCACAACCCCAGTCCACCCAAGTCCAGTCGTGAGGAAAACATGAGATAAATCCCAACTGTGAGATATCCCTCCTCAAAACTATCAAGGTCAGGGCACCTGGGTGGCTCAGATGGTTAAGCGTCTGCCTTTGGCTCAGGTCATGATCCCAGGGTCCTGGGATCAAGTCCCGCATCAGGCTCCCTGCTCAGAAGGGGGTCTGCTTCTTCCTCTCCCTCTGCTGCTCCCCCTGCTTGTGCTCTTTCACTCTCTCTGTCAAATAAATAAAATCTTAAAAAAAAAAAAAAGCTATTGGGCGCCTGGGTGGCTCAGTTGGTTGAGCGACTGCCTTCGGCTCAGGTCATGATCCTGGAGACCCCGGATCGAGTCCCGCATCGGGCTTCCTGCTCGACAGGGAGTCTGCTTCTCCCTCTGACCCTCTTCCCTCTCGTGCTCTCTATCTCTCATTCTCTCTCAAATAAATAAATAAAATCTTTAAAAAAAAAAGCTATCAAGGTCATCAGAAACAAGGAAAGTCTGAGAAACTGACAGCCAAGAGGAGACTTAAGGAGCCCTAACTATATGTAACCTGGTTTACTGGGTAAGATCTTGGAACAGAAAAGCGACCTCGGTAGAAAACCCAAGGGAATCTTTTTTTCTTTTTTAAGACTTTATTTACTTATTTGAGAGAGACAGAATGAGAGAGAGAGAGAGAGCACAAGAAGGGGGTAGGGTCAGAGGGAGAAGCAGGCTCCCCACTGAGCAGGGAGCCCGATGCAGGACTCAATCCTGGAACTCCAAGATCATGACCTGAGCCGAAGGCAGTCTCTTAACCAAATGAGCCACCCAGGCGCCCAAAAACCCAAGGGAATCTGAACAATGTAGAGGCTTTAGTTGATAAATACATACCGATATAGATTCATCAACTGTGCCGAAGGCACCATGCTAGCATATGATGTTAATAGCAGGGAAAAGCTGTGTGTGTGTGTGTGTGTGTGTGCGCGCGCGCGCGTGCAGGAAGTGGAAGGGGTGACATGGGAACACTCTGCACTATCTGCCCAACTTATCCGGAAATCTAAAGCTGCTCTAAAATTAGAAGTTACTTTTAAAAATGTAACAGAAAATGATGGAATGGCTCCTTTGGACTGGATTGCTACCAAAGGTCTCTGGGAGAGGAGGTCTAAGATGAACCAAGAGATAAGAAAGGCAGCCGGACCCAGAGCAGCACGTTCCCGGCAAAGGACACAGGACACACAGGGCCCCCGAGAGGGACCAGAGGGAAAGGAGGCGGGGCAGTTCAAATGGAGTCAGGGAGACCAACTGGTAGAGTCCAAGAGAAGGTCACAGGGTGAAGGAAGGCAAATGGGTTGACCCAGGCAGGTAGGCCATAGTGACCTCCACCTTGAGCCGAAGGAAACTGGAAGGTCAGTGGAAGGAGTTCACAAGATGATCAGGATCTCATGTGTCTTCTAAGAGCACCTCGCTGCTGTAGGGACAGGACCAGAGTGGGACAATGAAACAAGGGACAATAGTCACTCCAAGGGGACCATCACTTCAGATGCCCACAGTCATTGGGAGATGCAAGCTGGTGAAGAGCTAGGAGCACCCCGGGGGTCTAAGAGAAGACAAGAGGAGGGCTCTCCCACACAGAGTGGGGGGGGGCCTGAGCAAAGTCCCGCCGATGGACGATCCCTGAGTTTGACCCTTCTGGAAAAGTCTCCACAACGAGGCTACAGGGCATTCCACGCACTCAGTGCTCAGGAAGGAAGCACCTCCTTGGTGGTAGCTGGAGCCTCGGTTCGATCCCATCCTGCATTTACCACCTGTGAGAGGTTGCTAGGCAAAGCCTCAGTGTCCTCATCTGCAAAATGGGAACAATACCTCCCACCTCCTAAGGGGACTAGAATAATTCAAGAAGAAAAGGCTCCTGATACAAACATGGCCTTTGTAAATACTGTCAGTGAGCATTAGTTCTACAAGAGAAGCCCAAGGTGGAAGGATCTTAGAATCTGACCCAACACCCCATTTTAAAGATAGAAACAGGAAGGGATAGAGACAGAAAGCGTGCAAATGAGCACAGTGAGGACAAAGACCCTGTGTCCCATTCTGCAGTGTCTCTGTCCCAAATTCCATTCTGACCACAAGGGGAATGGGACATGCTCCCTCGTCAGCAACTATCTAAAGACCCCTCTACGGGAAGGTTCTTTCCTTGCTCAAAACTTCCCCATGGCTCTCCTGATCATTACAGGTGCTGCTGGCCCAGCGGGGGGGCAGGGGAGGGCTGTGATGAAGAGGCAGTGGCCCTCTGACTAGGCCCACCCTCCCCAAATCCTCAGTCTGCTCCATTGCTCAGGCACACCCCCTCTACCCCCTCCACCCCCAGGCACAGACCACCCACTCTGGCAGCCTGGCCTTCTCACCTGGGGCACCCCCACCCACCCGGCCAAACCATGCCGCACCCCCCATCCGTGAGGCCAGGCCCCAACAACAGCCAGAGTCACAGCCCTCATTATCTGACCCTCATCTTTGCCCCAAATGACAGGGCTATCTTATAAAAAGCCTCAAAAAGCTTTGTTGTTTTAGATTCCTCCTGGGAGCCAGCCACTTCTTATAATGCTCTCTAGCTGGATTCTAGAAAGATCTAGAATCTTTCTGGCAGTCTGCAATAACCCTTCTCCCAACCCTATCTCCCCCATAACCCTCAGCTCAGAGCAGACACTCAGTGACTTGTCGAAGGAATACCAGCACCTTGGTACAACCATTAAGCTTGGGAATGAGCATTTTCATCAACCAAAGATGTGGAAAATACTCCAGTAGCTCATTCCTAAAAACATCCTGAAGGCAAAAACTGAATAACTACTTCCTTCTGGGAAGCCTCCTACAATTTCACACAGACCAAATGAAAAGTACCAATCCCACAATTAGAAGATTTTGAGGAGTCTAACGCAGGATTCTGAATTAAAACATCAACTGTGTTTGCTCTAATTAGCTAAATTTTGTCCTAAATGCAAACGCTGTCCCCAGCATTCCAGACAGTCCTACATTTCCTCTTTATCTCTGACCAAGACCACCGTTTTCCAAGGAGGGCCAACTGTTTCATTTCTGTGATTCCGAAGAGGACTGTTATTAAAATCAGAAACCCAGCAGCATCTGGACTCTCTGGTTGCTTCTAGCACATGCGTTATTTAATCAGTGAATTCCTAAAAGTCACCCTGCAGAGAGGCAAGGAGCCACCCTCCCCCTCAGTCATCATACATATGTAAAATTTACTGTTGGGACAACCCCACCCACCATCCCATAGGTAGTCCTACCTACACAGACACACAAGGGAAAAGAAATCAAAAGGAGAGGATTTCTCCACAAATTAGGCCCATCCATCAAAGGTTCCTCTCAAAATCAGAGGAGTGTTACAGCCTCGGATCCTTACAGCCACACTTGCACCGCGACAACTAGAAAAAGAAATTCCAATTTCCTCCTCTGCTCTGGAATAGATAGTACAAGATTTTTACTCACCTTTGGAGCGAGTAGAGATATCCATGCCCTCTACCACCTCCTGTTCAGTTTTTATTTCCTCTTCGGCCAAGCTGAAACAGAGCAAATTATGTTCACATTTAGGTAGACTGAGAACTTGCCCCTTGGGGGCCGCTATTGAGAAGTTCTAACAACAAACCCACATTGAAGACAATCCCCCATCCTTTCGGAGGGCCGGGGGGGGGGGTACCCCCCACACTTGATTTCCAACAATGTGCTAAGTAAGACTCCTAAAGGAGTTTTTCAAACCACTAGGTTGTTCTTTTTTTAAGTCAAATTACTATTCCAGTTGTCATGCTGCTGGGGGATGCAAAAAAGCACATTTTTAGACACACAATTACAATCTGCCCCCGTGGGCCACTGAGAACCCAGCCGGCAAGTAAACAAGTTTCTCCTTGTTAACACTGGGTTCAGGTTGGAGGTGCTTCACAGGGTACCCATAGTTCTGATCTCTGAATGCTGCAAGGCAGAGAGCATTTCCCATACCTCCCAGCTAATTCTTAAAATTACCCGATGAGGCAGAAACAGGAAAAAAATATATATAGGTTAAACTGAAAAGTGGGAGACTATGCCCAGGTTAGAAGCAAAAGGCCTGATCTCAAAACATTCAAACCACGAGCACTTATCCCAGGAATTAGGCTTGGGGTGTCCATACTCCCACCTCCTGGATGTTTCCTCTCTGTTGCACGCATGGCTTAGAGCAAGCATTCAGCACTCTTGAGCTGTGACTAATTATCCCCCACCACAAAAGTGGAATGAGGAAGGATTATTTAAAAGACAAGCTGAGAGTTGGGGGTTGGGGAGAGAGAGGAGGGGGGGCAGCGGGAAACAGGCCCCTTGGCTGGGAAGGTCCACCAGAATCTTCTCGCACTCTCTCGGCTGGCTGAAACTCCATTTGAATGGAGTGCAGGCCACTTCATGTGCCCCCCACACACACACACACACACACACCTCCCAGGCAAGCCGGTAGAGTTCTCCTTTTATAGGGGCAAAATGTTTGAGGTGCTGGAACCTTCCAAGCCTTCAGGCTGACAATGAAGTGATAAGAATATGGGCAAAGTACTCTAGCGGCAACTCCATCAGTCTGTGATTCACCATGAACAAAATGGGTACATCACCAATTGATATGGCTGGAATTTTCCATTTGGAAGACTCAAAGCCAGGACCGGAGGGAGGGCTGAGGGAGAGAGGAAGGATTAGAATGTCCCTTCTGTGTTCCGTGGTCTGAGACTGTGACAAGACAAAAGATGAGTCCAAAAAGGCCTGGAACCTCAGGGTCAGAGGGAGATGGCTTTAGGAGAGGGCCATGTCTGATCTCAGGATGGGAACCAGACAGAAAGGAAGAAATTATAGCTCAGAATAAAATTAGAAAACTTGCACACCTCTAACGTAACTAGTCCCAGCAGAGAGAAGAAAGAAAGGTAGTTTAAAATTGGAATATTAACACATTTAGCCTCTGATGTAGAATCCGATTAACAATTTCACTGACACTGCATCTGTGGAAAAAGCCGTGATACCAATCACCAAAGAAACAACTGGCATTTTGTCACAAATGGTTTCCATCAGAAGCAGACTCTTAAATTTAAACACTTTGCTAACAGGCAATATTACAAGGTGATTTGTGGAAGGTGATTTTAGCACGAATACTTTTTACTCTAACTTCAGAGACATTCTCAACTCGGAAACACACTCTGCCTGCAACACACACATGGTCCAAATGAATACTTGCTGATCGTTTCTTGCCTGGGGTGACTGGAAATACATTTTCATAAAAATATATGTGTGTGTGTGTGTGTGTATATATATATATATATATCAAGCAGCCCTCAGAGACGGGGAGATGATCAACTTGAAAAGAACAAATAGCAACCTTGATCTTTCTAGCAACTAGAATTCTGTTTCCCTCTCTGGCATGAAGTATGTGAAATACTAAACTTACTGCAACCGATCCCCTATTTTGAGGGACAGAGAAAACACGCATCTGGGATCCCACCCAAACGTACACTGATAAAATAGTTAGAACAGAGCCCCTAAAACCCACTTGATGGATTTCTGCAGTGATGAAAACATTCAAAGGTGTACTGATCATGGAGGACTGCATTCAAGAGAACAATTATTTGGCTTTTGGCAGCCCAAAAGGAGTGGGAGTCCTTCAGGCAGGGATGCTGCTGAGAAGCTAGGGAAATGCAAACTAGTTAGGTGGCTATTTGCTGCTGCAGCAAGAGGGCAGAAAAGTGAAGCGGTTTTATCTTTGCAAGTATTACAAGTGGGCCCCATAATCACCTAACTTTAAGCAATAGCACCACCAGCTTCAGCCAAAGATTTGAGCACAATTTCAAAAAACCATCTTTTTTAGCAGATCAGCAAGCCATGCTTTCAAAGGGAACCCGTGCCCACACATGCCCGCGCGCGCGCACGCACACACACACACACACACACACAATAACTTGCATTTGACTAAAGGAAATTGCAGTGTCTATGCGTTAAAAGGAAAAAAACTTCATTTACAAGAGCAAAGACCAGAATGCAAAATGAGTCATTCTGAATAGCCACATCTAAAGGGACTTCCTTTTTTCTACACCACTGATCTCAGTTTTTTTGGTGGTTGTTGTGTTTTTTTTTGTTTGTTTTTGGTTTAGTGTTAAGGACTAGTATGTTATTAGGGAAAAAATTATCAGTATTACATCAAAAGTGGTGGTGAGAAAAGATCTGTACCTGTCTGCCCCACAGATCGTGGTCAATTTAGGTTAAAAACTGTTCAGTCGTTTGGAGGAGAAAAAAAAAGTCAAATAACAATAATTGTTAAAAAGAAAAGGCAGCTGCACCTGGAGAAGAGACTTTGAACTCTTGTCCTTAACACATGAAAGTCTTAGAACATACACAGCATCTTTCCTATCTGCTAGCTTCCAGCAACCCCGATTATTTAAACCAAAAACAATGGAACAAGCAGCCCTTGTTTCAAACTGACATTACTTTTTTTTTTTTTTTAAGGTCCACTGGGGAGGCTGGGGACCAGCTAAAGAAAAGAGTAAAATTAGCTGAAAACCAAACAGCCCTTCAGTCCAACAAGAAAATACACCATCAACTAGTTGTATACATTGTCTGTTGCCACCGCCACCACCTCTTGCCCTCACATTTACCCTAAGTCACTTGCCTCTGGATTTCACAAACTGCTACGTTTCAGACAATTAAAGAAGAAATAACAGTATCTGCAAATACAACCAAGACTTTCCCATCCGGTCCCAGAAAGAATAAGATTTGTCCCCCCAATGCCTGAGCAAGAAAACCCAGGCTTACTTCTTAAACCTGCATGCACTGAAAAAGAGCAATTAAAAGTTGCAGATGAAGTGCTGCACCTCCAGGATGTTTTAAGCCTTCTGATTATTAATTCTGAGGACTCAAGGCTGGTCCGTAATTCCCAGGAATGCCATCCCCTCAACACTTCCAAGAGAGAGAGAAAGAAAAAAACATCTAGTTTTGACAGGAGGAGAAAAAAAAAAGCCTGGATACACAATGCCCAGATATTTCTTTTCCCCAAGTGCCCCTACTATTTGACTTTTAACCAAGAATATCTAACCCAGCTAGAATATATAACCAGCATGCACAAGACTCTGGTTCTACAGATGAGGATCATCGCACGGCAATTCAAGAATCATGCATCATTCGCAAGGACTTTTCCTTTAGCTTTTTACTTTCATTCAAAATACCAAACTGGTCCAGGCTGTAAGAAATATTTAATCCCCAAGACACAACATCTTCCTCTGCTAGATCACAAAAGAGTGAACATCAAAATAAGAAAACCATGCTTCCCTAAATCTGCAATTAATTTTTTTTTTAAATTGGGGTGGGGGGAAGGGAATGGTTAGCAGAGCAGCTTTATATAAGCACTCACCTAAAACAGGCAGAGTCATCGGGAGCTAAGCTATTTATGCAGGATTCTTAAAATGGCGTCTGGCAACACTGCCTCATTCCTGTATTGAAGCTAAAATGGTAGCAGGTTGTTCAATAGCTGTAGCTCTTGTGGAAGCAGCCCTGCTAGTTTCAAAGCCACCTTCCTAAATATCAGAACTAGGAAAAGCTCAACCAAAGGACACCAACAACCCAACGTTTAGAAGCTTAAAAAAAAAAAAAAAAAAACTGCAATGACAGGGGGAGTTTGTGAAGTCACAGGTTCCTGAGGAAAACCCTTTCCCTTTTAGATCCTGAGCCTTCCACAGGAGGCTCTGAGATGGGGCCCCCTTACCCTCAAATTAGGTGGGTGGGAGGTCAGGAATTATGCAGCCCTGTGGCTTAAACTGCGGACAGACAGGTGTCTACACAAATGCAAAAATGTTAAAAGGGAGCAAGCTGGGGAGGGGGAGGAAGCCCATTCCCCCTTCTTGATACATTAGAAACCAGCTCTGCATCCCTCCCAAAAAGGAGCTAGGTGAAATCTAAGTGTTGCAAGGAGAGCAGCCATCTGAAAAGCCAAGCTAAAGGGCTGCACCCCTGTTCTGAGGCCAAGGTAAAAGAAAAAGGCTGTGCATAAGCCTGAAAACGGCCCCCAAATACCCAGCCAGCCCTAAGACGGTTAACCTCCAGGAAAGACAATCTGAGCCTGCAGAGGAGAAACAACAGTAAAACATTCCCTCAGCCAATGCACGGGATACTCACAAATCAGATTTTTGTCCACCCCCAACAGAGCCCTGAAAATTAACAATGGGTTTGCAAAACCCGCTTTCAGAGGCCGAACTAGCAGCCTCAAAGTGGGTAATGTAATTTACTGTTACAGGTCTGAGAATTGGCCTCACCACTCTGGTGCTGAGTGGGGAGTTTCAAGGTGACTGCTTTTTAGCTCCAGGGGAGAAAGGAGGGCATGGTGCCCAAGGCTGGGCCGGGGCAAGGACGGGAGGTTGGCTCCTCGCCGGCCGGTAGGTAGGTAATCTTGATGAGGAGGGACAGCCTGGCAGCAAAACTAGCCGCACTGCTGACATGGCTCCCGCCTGCTTGTTTATCTGTAAGGAGAGTGCGGAGTGGGGGGAAGGGCAGCAAAGCCTTAGCAACCTGGAGCCAAGGGTGAATCCTCACTTGTTTTGCATTTAAGATCAAGGGGAAAGGACTTCTAAACAGATTCCCTTACTAAATCTCTGCTGTGGGGTAGCGAGGCCACTTTTGCATGTATAGTTCTTTTCAGGGTCAACCAGAGGCAAAGCCAGATATAGGGCCTCTCGGCGGACAAATGTTTGTTGCCTCGGCCACAGAAGAGGAGAAAAGAAGGCAAAAGAAACAAAGAGATCACACATTGGAAGTGGTTGGACTTTCTAAAAACCTACCTTTGCCTTCAGGGTTTTCTGGGTTACTATCATCCTGGCTTTTTAAAATGTGACTCATTGCCCCCCCCCCCATTTAAGACCTGAAGAAGTTTCCCCACTGTTCTCCCAGGGAAAGAAAAGGGGGAATGTTTTGTTTAAAAGAAAAGGGGTTACAAGAAAGAAAAGGAGAGAAAGAAAGAAAAAGCCATTGTTCTCATCCCTAATTTATAATCCAAGAGGCCCCATTGTTTCTTTCTTTTTGACTCAAATCTTTGAGCTGTTAATTATAAAAGTAACTGGACTCAGCTCCAACAAGCGAACTATGTTCATGCGCAGCAATTAGAAAAACTCTGCAGAAAGTTTACTGAGTGATTATATATAATTAATTCCTAGTTACTTACAGACGGAACACTGACCATTTTCTGGAGCTAATAAAAGCAGTTACTCCCCCTCCCCCACGTGAATGCCACTTAATTTCCCAAAGCAGAAAAGTGAATCCATCCTGGAGGGTCTTGAAGGAAAAAAAAAAGAGAGAGAGAAGAGTCAAAAGCTCCAGTGTGTCTGTGTTTGTTCCTTGCAGCTGTGCATCTTCTTTGGGGACTGAGGAGGCAGAAGGAAAAAGGCAAACAGCCCAAGTTCTGTGCCTCCCTCTGAAATGTATAACTCTGGCAGAACGATCACTCTACCTTGATGTAAAAAAGAAAAAGGGGGTGGGGGTGGGCGGTGGGGAGGGAATGCCTCAGGACTGGAATGTAGGAGACTCTTCAGCTTGGCGGATAGGCTTCTCCTAAAAGGAACAAAGATGGTAGAAACTTCCAGAAGGCCCCTTCTCAGTCTGGCCACTGCAACTGTCAATCTGTAACCTTTCCTCCAAGTCTATTGGTTCAAAAGCTGGAGAGAGGAGCCCCATTGGGCTGCTCTGTAAGCCAGCACTGCTGTCCCTACCTAGTCCTGCTGCAATGCAGACATTTATTTTCCCCCCTTAGTGAAACTGGGAAATAAGCTACTTTGGAAGCAATTAACTTTTTACAGACTCATGCTTGGTGGTGGCCACAGTACCAGAGGAAAGTGGCCAGCTTGGTCCAGGGCTGGGAACTTGCTGGGACTGCACATCTGAAAACATCTTGGCTTTGCAAACCTGTGGGAGCCATTTTAATGCAAGCTTTTAGAGGGCAAATGCCTTGCCCTTAGGTTTCCTTCCAGCCCAACAAACACCATTATGCAAACGTTGAAGGCACCAAACCAGGAGTCTTGTGATTAGATACTGCTTCTAGGGAGGCCACAGGAACCTCAATATGTAATTTCCATTTACAGCCAGGAGATAAGAACAAAGAAAATTGCTAAGTGTCTGGACTGACTTGTGTGGGGTAGTAGCACTGTTCAGTTTTAAGTACACAACATCATTAACTGCCTGCACTTCTTAACAACTCAAAAAGCTGGCCTCACACCGACTTTTCTTAACTTAGAATTGGTACATTTCTCGTTATTAAATGAGCCTTTTTCCAACTGATGCTAAAAGGTGGGTGGCTGGACACGAACTTAAAGGAAAAAAGATTACGACTCCATAAAGTTGGCATAACACAACAACTGACTATATTTCCAGCATTTACAGTCATGCTAGATTGGTCTCCAGGCTGGAAATTTATGTAGTGAACTTCTGGGCAAATTCTGAAGCTAACGCTAAACAAGCGTCTACTTTTTTTCACTCGTAAGTCCTAGCTACAGCATTAAGAGATCAGGAGAAGTGTAAAAAGTGAGAAATAAATCATAAGTAAAGGCAAGCGTGCATAGAGATGTGTGGGTCAGGCCTGGGAAAAGGCCAAATCTGTTTGTTGTGCAGGGAGTCCTGAATCAAACCAAGTTTGGTGGTGGGTGGGATTTTACACTACAAGTATTCTAAATCGGAGTGCTGACACCCCCACCCCACACACCACCACCAGGCTCCTGCCCTCACCAGTGTTTAAGGCTCGGTGACTCTAAGAACAAGCACTTTCATTACATTTCACAAGCAGATCACCTACCCAGAGTTCTAGCTAATACCCACACAATCCCAATTAAAGGTCTCCAGTCCAGTCACAATGAACTGAACATTTCTCCCCTGTCTGAGGGTAAACAGGAAGTGTGATCTTCAATCCTAGCAGCAGGTTATCAGGAAAAACAGTGGATTCAAACAGTCACCTAAAATCAAGAGACTATTAAAAAGCCCTTATGTGGTCCCTGCTAATGAAAAGCCCCCCCTCCCAACTGCTGTAGCCAAGACCCTCTGTTACAAACAGACCCCAAATGTCCGCCAAACTCTTTATACATGGTCACAGAGGAAATGGATTGCTTTACTTACCCAACAAATGTTCAAGCAACCGTCTCATTTTTCCACAGTTAAGAAGAGAGAACAGGCAGGCAGATTTGGGACTTGATCAAAAAGGAAATTTTTTTTTAAACAGTTACATGGGATTATTAAAAACACACAACAACACAACCCAACAACTGAATATGGAATATGCTGTCATGAGCCACAGACATGATTTATTTCCTCTGTGCTCCATCACACAGAAGGACAGAGGATGATACAATGTAAAAGAGGGAAAAGAAATGAAAACAAGGATAAAAGATCCATTAGTTCATTGAAAATCATGCAAGAGTAGAAAGCTAAGGGATTCAAAAGGAGTCCTCACAGATTTATTGCAGGATGTTGTCCAACCTCCCTCCCCCTCTACACACACACACCCCCCCCATCCCCATCCCTACTCCAAAAACTTCCTCCAAAGCCTAGAAAACACTTTCAGAAACATTTGCTGGCTGTAGGCTGGCTTGCAGAAGAACACTCTGTATCAACAGAAGTCAGGAAAAAAGGCTGAACAATGTAGTTTCAAGTGAAGCAGCCCTGTAGGGAGAGAACAGACCATGGAGAGACACCACCACCCACCTAGGCCCCAGGAACTAGGATCTCTCCTTAGCACTGCTCTGCTGAGGGCTTGGTTCTTTTTAAAACACACGTCCTTTCTTGTCAGAACTTACTCCAGCCTTCCCAGAACCTCTTTGGAGAGGGAAACTTGCCTGCTTTGCTGTCTGCCATGGGCTCTCCTTGGAGAGGAGCCTGCTTGCTTACCTTCCATTTTCTTCCCCCAGCAGGCATGTGACACAGGAGAAGACAATAGTGCAGGGGGGGGGGGGAGAACTGCTCAGAGAGAGAGAGAGACAGGGAGAGAGAGAGAGAGGAGGAAGAAAAAAAAAAAAGGAAAAAAAAAAAGCTTCTTTTTTGGCATTCCAGGATCTAGCTTCAAACTATTCCAGAAACACCATGTCCTGGTGAAGAAAAGGTGTGCCAGGCCTTTGCTAGTTTGCAAAATCAAGCTATGGCTAATGGCTACTTAGCCATGTGACCCAAGAAAGCAAAAAAAATTCTCTCTAAACAGTTCCAAGTTAACCTAAGTGCTGTGGGGGTGAGTGTGGCACGGCCAGCCACAGAGAAATCACACTGCTCGCCCACAATTCGGATGTCTCAGAGGGAGGGGGAGAAAAGATGGTTAAAAAGTCGAGCTTACCTCTGTGGATGCATTGTTAACACTGTGTAATGTCAATACTTATAAAACATGGAGGACAGGCTCCTAGTTCTCACAGAAAAAGGGTTTGGCACTTCGGCTTGATGATCTGGCCGCCTAATAAAAGCTCATCCCCGATTGGCTGCCCCGGCAAATCGGAGTGTAAGGCCGGCCGGGATTGGCTGAAACACTTCCTGAGCGATTATCTTTGTGAGGCTCTGGTGAGCAAGAGCCATCCTGTGCATAGAAAAAGACAGGCTAAGCTAGGCCTTTTGCAGCGAGAAAAACTTGGGAAAGGGGCCCCCAGACGCACTTCTCCCACACCCTGGCTAGATTTCCCGGCACGGGCAAACCAGTGCAGCCAGCCTGACCTGCTCCAGCAAAGCCTGAGGCCCGGATGCCACGGGGAAGGGAGTTTTTGGGGTGAGCTGAAAGGGCTCACCCTCACCTGCCCCCACAGAAACGGCTCTTGGCTGGGAGGAAGCCTGGCCCTTTTCTAGAACAATCCAGCAGAGTGGTTCTCCCCCGGAGGGGGGGAGGGGAGGGGGCGCGGGGACGGAGTGAAGCTGAGGAGTGGGGAGCCCCAGGAAAACAGCCAAGGGGGGCAAGGAAAAGGGGTTTGAGGAAGGCCTCTGAGGAGCTGAGGGAAAACAGGACAGAGGAGCCCCAGGAAATCGCTACAAGGCAGCCCTGGCTTCTCAGAGGACAGAGGATTCGGGCTGCTGGGAAGAGGAGGGGAGCAGAGTGGTCAAGTTTGCATAGTCATTGTCAAAACGCCTCCTGGAAAAGCAGGCCAGAGAGCCCTTTGCCGGCAGAGAATCTAACTCCTCACCCCCCTCAGCCAGTACTCAAAGGAAAACCAAAATGGGTTCCTGCCTCCCTGCCAGGATGCCAACAGGGCCCCCCCCCTCCGTCCTTACCCTAAGAAAAGCCAAATGCGCTCCTAGCAGGCCACATGCCTAGATCTACAAACTTCCCTTCCCCTCCCGGCCCCCTCCCCCACCACTGAGGCCTGCTAAACCTGTCAGTTAAACAAAAATCTGACTTCCGTATTAGTCTGCAATGCCTTCAGCTTCCTGCCTATTAACCCTCTCGGACTCTGGGCCTGGCTGGGAAAAACTAGGCCCTGAGATCGCAAAAAAGGCCTGTGGAAAAATACCAGCTGCAGCTCTCCCGGCAGATGCAGAAAGAGAGAGAGAGAGAGTGAGCCGCTGTCTCTCGCCTTTGCTTCCCAAGGAGGCGTGTACCTTCTGAATCCAGGGCACAGGCAGTGCCTCTCGGTCTGAGAAGCCATTTAAATCCAGAGGGAGAAAGAAAGATGTCAAGCCCAGCAAGGGAACAAGAACCCCCATTATTAGCCAGGCCTACACCCACAGCTTAGCCCTTCCTGCCACAATCACCCCTGTATGTATGTTCTTGGGGAACTGGGCCCTCGGTGGGCAGACAAATCCCATGAGCTTTATAAGGATTCTTGCTTAAATTTATTTCCACAGAGAACGGCCTCTTTTCGTCCCCTAAGGCAGATGGAAGAGCTACTTCACACACAGACCTACTCTTGGCAGCCCCCCACCCCCATCTCTGGCACTGCTCCCCAGTAAAATATTAACTAGTTTTTTAGAGCTCCTTATGATTCCACCCATTTCAATAGTATTAGGAGGTCTTTGCCTGTGTCTTCCCGAAAGCTGCCTTTGTAGTTGGTCTGTACCGAGAACGGAAAGACAAATCCAGAAGGATCTTAAAATGTCCATGCTTGCTTGCTTGCTTGCTTTTTTTCTCCCCTCAAAGACAAGGTGCTTAATTAACAAGATTTTTTTAAAACAGCAAGCTGTAACAACAGAAGCTAAATAAACACCATTCTTCAGAGGCTGGAGAAAGCTTCCAGAGGTGACGCAGCCATATGCCAGGAGGTAAAACTATGGCCCAATAAAGTCTCCCCTCGCCTCCTAAAATTAGGACTCGTGGGCTTTCTGGTCCCACACCGTTCGTTCCCACAAAGAAAATGTAGAGCTGATCGCCTGCTCTCCCTGCCCCCGCCCCCCCCCACATGGACAACAGATGCCCACCTCGTGCACATAAATTCTTCCTGGCTGGGAATCTTATATCAAACAGGAACAAGCCAGGAATCCACACAGACCGTTCGGCAGGGGCAGGGCCCAGGCTTTATAAAAAGGGAGGGGATTTTGTTGCTGCTGTGTATTAAGCGGAAGAGGCCCAGATGCAGGGAGGGAGGGACACCTCCATCACCCGGCCTGACAAGGGTCCAGCACTCGGGACAGGCCTGGGCCTCACTAGAAGGGAGGGGCCCCCTCTTCCTGCGGGTGGAACCGCGTACAGGGAGACCAAGTGAGGGACAAGAGGTGGGGAGGCCAGAGCTAATCAGACCATGCTGTCCCTCCTGGCGGCGTGGGCAATGGCCCTCCGCCACCATCCCCTAGGGAACACTGTCTACCCCTGCGTGGTGCTGCTTTTGGGGGAACGGACGTGTCTGCGAGTCTATGGCAGATCTCGTGTGCCACTAGCTTCATGACCCAATGAGGAAATGAAATACGCCACTGGTGCGCGTGGTGGATTTTAACCCAGGATTAAAGCTTGTTGCATAAGCAGCTGCAGAGTCCTCCCCGCTTCCCCCACCCTCCTCTGATCACTTGATCACTTGAAATGTTTTCTGGGGCAAAGAGCAGGAAGCTGCCGGCTTATTCTGGCAGCTCTGCTCTGAGGAATGCTATTGGCATTCCGGTAGGTCTGAGGTTATCAGAAAGACAGCGATTGGGCGGCGGACAGAGACAAAGGTATGGTGGCAGATGGAATCCTGGGAGGGACAGGGATTGAAAAGGAAGCCCGGGGCAGGCCTACTAAGGGCCAGTTCTGGGCTTGATGGAATGTGGCTGATAAGCGGGAAATAAAGAAACCAGATGTTGCCAGCCTCAATCTAGAGATCATTTGGTGGCCCCTCTCAAAACACCCCTTTGCAGAGTAGCCCCAACAGCTCCGGCATGCTTGCCTGGGGCCTGGTACTGTGCTAAGTCAGCACTTTGCACGGACTGACTCCATGAGGTAGGGAGCATTGTTACAGATTTGGAATCCAGCCCAGCGAGGTGAAGTGAGCTGTGCAAGGTCACACAGCTGGCAAGTGCCAGAGACCAGACTTCCACCCCAGTTAGGGCTCCGCACCCCTAAACTCGGTACCTTCCCCTGCCTCTAAAGAAAGGGACAAAAGAGAAGCGGAACCAAGCGGAGCAGAAACAAGGCTAAGATCTACCAAGAGCAACTGCAGGATCTGTGTCTTCTTTTAGGAGATCGACACCTTTGAGAATAAGTTTTAAGTACTGAATGATGGAGCTGGGAGACCTGCAGCTCGGACTCATTTAAGGCCCAGAGAAAGCTCCTCTCTCCCTACAAGCCTCCAGCAAGATGTTAGGCGGAACACTCTGCCATCCCTAAAATTAGGTTTTTATATTCCTGGAAATCAGTGGTTCTCAACGAGGGGTGGGTTTAGCCCCCCGCCCCAGGGCGGGGGCGGATATGTGGCGATATCCGGAGACTTGGGGGTTTTCACACTTGGGCGGGGAGAGGTGCTATTGGCATCTAATGGGTAGAGACCAGGGAACGTTGCTAAACATCCTACAGCAAGGAACAGACACCCCACAACAAGGAATTATGCTGTCCAAAATATCCACAGTGCCGAGGTAGGGAAATTAATAAGCAGTGAACTAATAAAAATATATTAAAACATGTCTTTCTTAATGTTCCCAGGGGATGGAGAGAATCAGGAGACAGAATCAGGCTTACGGAAGCCAGAGTGTCTCAGTGATAAAGCTGGTCTCAAAGGAGAGGAAGGGCTGACCCGGCTCCCTTCCCCAGGCAACTTACTGCTGAGGCCTCGCTGAAATGGCTCTCCCCTCCTGCGGGCCTGCAGCCAGGCGAGCAGCCAAGCTGCAGCCTCAACAAGCTGCATCCCGAAGATAGCCCAGTCGCGGACTAGGAAAATAAGCACGCTCGGGGTTATCTGCCTCAAGCTAGCAGCAGGCCGCTCGGGCCGTTATGTGAAACGGGCCGTTATGTGAAACAGGCGGGATGGAGGCAGGGAAGTGTTTTAAATATCTTGTTTTGTTTTGTTCCTTTTTGGCCAATTGGAACCGAGGCCAACTTCGGGCATGGTGACAGAAGGGCTCACCTTCAGAGCATGGAGCTGACCGAGTCATGTTTACAGCCACAAAGAGGTAATTAGGACTTGTCCCTACCTTAAGAGAAGAGGTGCCCTCTGGAAGTGTCTTTTTTTTTTTTTTTTTTCTTTTTAAACTTCTTCCTAGGAGGGGCTGGATCAAAAAAATGGAGGGAGGAGGGAAGGGCAGGTGGAAAGGGGGTTGCGGGGTACATGACCATCAGGCAGATGGCCGCAGTGTGGGCGCGGAGGGACTTAAGGGATGCAGGAAGAAAATGAAAATCCGAAGGAAGAAGATTCAGGACCTCCCCTTATCTGCTCTTTTTACTTCCTAGCAATTACCATTATGGGAAGAAGAGCATGTATTTATCTGCTGTTTGTTTCTTGGTCCCACTAGACCAGTGGCAATGTCAGGAGACGTTTTAGGTTGTCCCATCTGGAGGAAGGAGGATGCTATTGGTATCTAGAGGGTACAGACCAGGGATGGTGCTAAACACTACCAAACACAGTACAACACCCCCCCCCCCCGAAAACTAGCCAGCCCCAAGTATCACTAGCGCCGAGGCTAAGAAAGCCTGCCCTAAACTGAGAACTTTAACAAGGCAGAGCCTGGTCTGAATTCCTCACCTTTGTGCCCGACAAGTGTCAGAGCTCAGTTAAACACCACCTCCCACCTGGACGGGTGCACTCGTCTCCTACCTGAGCCCCCCTATCTGCCCTTGCAAATGCTTTCGAGGACAGGGGAGTTAGACTAGGAAGAAACTGGGGATTTAGACACACACACACACACACACACACACACAGGCTGCAAGCAATCCTTTGAAGCCAGAACTCATCCTTCCTCTGCTCAAAACCCATCGGTAGATTCCCACCTTGTTCAGAGTAAAAAGCCCAAGTGCTAAAAATGGCCCACGGGATCAGTGCCTTGCTCCTGATCCCTGACTCCACTCGTGTCCTTCTCCGCTCCCAGGGTTCACTCTGCTCACTCTGCTCCCGCCACCCTGATCCTCCATCTGTTCTTTCCACCGCCTAACCATCCC